AAGAGCATACAGTAGAGTCTAGATAGTCTCTTCAATAAATGGTGTTGGGAAAATTAGACAGCTACCTCAAAAAAATGTAGCTAGAACACCAATTTATACCATACACGAGAATAAACTCAAAATGGATAAAAGACTTAAATGTAATTCGTGAATCCATAAAAATTCTAGAAGAAAATGTAGGCAACAAAATCTCAGACATCATATGCAGCAGAATTTTCACTGATACAACACCGAAGGCAACAGAAACAAAGGAGAAAATGAACACATGGGACTACATCAAACTAAAAAGCTTTTGCACAGCAAAAGAAACAACCATGAGAACAGAAATAAATCCTACTATGAGAGACCATAGTCGCCAATGATTCACCAGATAAGGGGTTAATTCCCAAAATATACAGAGTGTTCATACAACTCAACAAAAGGAAGACAAAGAACCCAATTAAAAAATGGGCAGAGGAGCTGAATAGACACCTCTCCAAACAGGACATACAAATGGCCAAGAGACATATGAAGAAATGCTCAACATTACTAATCATCAGAGAGATGCAAATTAAAACAACATTGAGATATCGCCTCACACCTGTCAGAATGGCCGCCATCAACAAATCATCACACAAGTGTTGGTGAGGGTGTGGAGAAAAGGGGACTCCAGTACACTGCTGATGGGAATGCAGACTGGTGCAGCCACTGTGGAAAACACTAATGTGTTACCTCAAAAAATTAAAAATTGAACTGCCATTTGACCCCAGTGATCCCACTTCTAGGTATATACCCTAGGAAGCCTGAAACACCGAAATATATATACTTCTATGTTTGTAGCAACACTATTTACAGCTAAGTGCTGGAAACAACCCAAGTGTCTATCAGTGGATGAGTGGATTAAAAAGATGTGGTACATGTACACAATGGAATACTATGCAGCTGTAAGAAAGAAAGATCTCTTATCCTTTGAGATGGCATGGAAAGACCTGGAGAAAATTATGCTAAGTGAAACAAGCCAAGCAGAGTAAGACAAATATCGTATGATCTCACTTATTTGTGGAATATAATAAACCAAACAAACTGCTGAACAAAATTAACCTAGAGACTTGGAGGTGGGGTACAGCCTGACAAGCCTCAGAGGAGGGGGATTTGTGGGGGGAAGAGATAAACCACAGAACTTGTATGTATGCATGACCAATGAATATAGACAACAAAACTGGGAATAGGGCGTGGGGGAAGGGGAGGAGGGTGTCAATGGGGGAAAAATGAGAAAGATCTGTAACAAAAACAAACTAATAAATAAAAAAATTTTTTTAAAAATGGGCAGAGGACCTAAATAGACATCTCTCCAAAAAGGACATACAAATGGCCAAGAGACATATACAAAATTGCTCAACGTCACTAATCAACAGAGAGATGCAAATTTAAACAACTATGAGTTATCACCTCACACCTGTCTGAATGACCACCAGCAACAAATCATCAGACACCAAGTGCTGATGATGGTGTGGAGAAAAGGGGACTCGAGTATACTGCTGATGGGAATGCAGACTGGTGCAGCCACTATGGAAAACAATATGGTATTTCCTCAAAACATTAAAAATTGATTTGCCATTTAACCCAGTGACCCAGTTCTAGGAATATACCCTAAGAAGCCAGAAACACCAATCAGAAAGAATATATGTACCCCCATGTTCATAGCAGCACTATTTACAATAGCTAAGATCTGGAAACAGCCCAAGAGTCCCTCAGTAAATGAGTGGATAAAAAAAGCCATGGTACATATACACAATGGAGTACTATGCAGCTGTAAGAAAGAAATATCTCTTATCCTTTGAGACGATATGGAAAGATCTGGAGAGTATTATCCTAAGCGAAACAAGCCAATCAGAGAGAGACAGATATCACATTATCTCGCTTATCTGTGGAATATAATGAACAAAATAAGCTGAGGAACAAAATGACCCAGAGTCATGCAAGTGCGGTACAGGCTGACAAACCTCAGAAGAGGTGGATGTGGGGGAAGGGAAGAGATAAACCGCGGGACTTTTATGCATGTACGTGTAAACAAGAACATAGACAATAAAGCTGGGGTGGGAGATGTGGGATTTGGAAGAGGGTATTAATGGGGGGATAAAAGAGAAACATCTGTAACGAAAATAAATACATACATTTAAAAAAAATAAATAAAAAGTTATCATAAGAAAAAATAATTGAACTGCCATTTGACCCAGTGATCCCACCTCTAGGAACATATCCTAAGAAGCCTGAAATACCAATCAGAAAGAATATATATACTCTATCTTCATAGCAGCATTATTTACAATTGCTAAGATCTGGAAAGAGCCCAAATGTCCATCAATAAATGAGTGGATAAAAAAGCTGTGGAACATATACACAGTGGAACACTGTGCAGCTGTAAGAGAGATCTCTTATCCTTTGAAATGACATGAAGGCACTTGGAGAATATAAGCAAAATAAGCCAAGCAGAGAAAAATACCACATGATCTCACTTAATTGTGGAATATTATGAACAAAATAGACCTGGGGACATGGAAAGGAATATAGTTCAGTCTGGCCGGTGTGGCTCAGTGGTTGAGCATCGACCCATGCACCAAGAGGTCGCGGGTTTGATTCCTTGTCAGAACACATGCCCAAGTTGTGGCCGCAAGCCCCAGTGGGGGCATGCAGGAGGCTGCCAATCAATGTTTCTCATTGATGTTTCTATCTCTTGCTTCCTCTCACTACCTCTCTCTCTCAAATCGATAAAGGGAAAAAATATTTTTTTAAAAAAGGAGTATAGTTCAGATAGACAAACCTCAGAGGAGGGGGGCAGGAGGGAAGAATGAGATAAACCAAAGAACTTATATACACATATGCGTAAATCATGGACATAGACAACAGTGCTTGGGAGGGGAGGGATTGGGAGGAAGGTGTCTAATAGGGAAAAAGGAGAAACAGCTATAATGAAAATAAATTAATAAAAATTGACCCCTCCAAAAAATCAGTATTAATGATGATAAAAGCACCAGCCTCAATAAAAACATTAAAAGACAAACAAACAAAAAGAAAAAACATACACACACATAAATACTAGAACATTGTGAGACCAACTGGGTTAGGAGAGAGGGGAAAAAGGTAGAATATGAAAGCAAAGAAGGCAGAGACCAGAAATAGGGTAAGTATAAAAAATAAAAGGTATAAAATAATGTCTGAAATAATAATTATTATTTTAGAAAGTAATAATGCTAAATTGAATAAAATATAAAATAGTAAAGTAAAAAACGGGAAAAGAAAACAAGAAAAATATTGAATTAAAAATTAAAAACACACACACCAAAACAACTATAGCAACAACAAAAACCTTGGATGTGCTCTTTATGTAGCTCACTGGATTTTGCTCTGATGTTGTTGGATCTGACCCCTTGGGTGTGGGTCCCTGTCCTCTTGGGAAGTTCTCTCGTGCAGGCCAATGTGAACTGCTGTCCCTGTCTGGCCCTGGGCCTTCTGACTGAAGCCCTGCAGGGCAGGATCCCAGATAGTCCTATGGGCAAGACTTCCCTAGCCCAGAGGCTGGGTCACTTTTGAAGTTCACCACTTGTATTTGTTCTGGGCTGCTTTTCCTTCTGCTATGGCACTGGGCTCCAGGGGGTACCAGGTCCTGTCAGGGTGGTTTAAACAGATTTGTGTTAGGGGTGGTACCTGTAGCTGTAGGAGGGGCAGGCAGTCTCTTCCTCTCCTTCCAATGCCTTAGCTCTGCCTAGTTTGCTGGTACCTTTTGGTCACCACCCCAAGTAGGGGAGAATAGAAAAAAAGGAGAAAGAAAGAAAAAGAAAAAGAATGCCCTGCTTGGTTCTTTAATATTTCAGCATGGCCTTCTCTAGCTGGATGGGGCTTCTGCCCAGGCTCCCTCCCCGCCAGACATCAGAACCTCCAGTGTTGCTAGGCCCTGCTTCTTGGTGCTTCTAGCCTAGAGCTGTGCCATGGGTGGGGAAAGGGGTGCCTCTTCACTTGAGATGGGGAGGAACTGTGCCTCTTTCCACGGGCACTCTGGCTAGCCCCCAAAGTTTTTTCAGTGAATGCCCAGCCCCTCAGACTTACTACTGTGTGATATGCTCAGATCCCTCCTCAGGTGTGCCTTTCTATTTTGTGGCCTCTTCAGCTCCCACAGTCAGGGCAAGCTTTCCAGGCTGGTGGGGCAACCATGCACTAGCTTTTTCCCTGAGGTAGTACTGAGTCTCCCTGGTGGGCTGAAATCACTTCAGATTCCCACCATCCGATGATAAGTGGGTTCCCTTTCCCTTCTCTGTTGCTCTGTTTGTGAATCTCTGTGTGGGGCTGAGTCCCCCCACACCCAGTGGGCAGGAGCTGCACGCCTGCACCTTTCCTCCATCTTCCCAGCCACTCCGCGCAGCTGTGCAAGTTTGCTCACTCACTTCGTGTCTTCTTCTGTCTCCTCTCCATGTTCCCCACTTGCAGTATTTCCAATCAGCTATTTTTAGATGGTTTTTCAAGTTGATTGCTCTGCATTTTAGCCTCAAGTCTGGTCCTGTGTTTGGAGCAAGCAGATGGAACTTCTTTAGGCTTCAGCCATATTGTCTCCCTGCAAAAAGCTACCATTCTTATACACTATAGTACTTCTAGTAAGCAGCACTCAATTTTCTCCCATGGTGAGTACTCTGAAGTCATACTTCTTTATCAGTCTTACTCTGACCCTGTCATATTTGTTATCAGAACCTCCTCAGTCCTGAGTGTCCAACAAGTGACTAGTCACATTGTTCTACATGCCTCTGCAAAGTTAGATTCATCCTCCCTCCCCCCCCCCCCACCACACACACACACACACACACACACCAATCAGATCCAGGACAAATGCCTGGGCCCCAAATCATACATTGATCTGTGGCAGCACTGGGATTCCAGTCCAGGTACCCTACCTGCTGCAGGGACCTGGTTCACATGTGTCACTGAGCTGCCATACCAGGCAGCAGCCCTGACCCGATCCCTGTTGTCCACAGGGTCCCAGCTTGGCCCTGGCTGAGGTGCACCGGCAGCGGCGCAATCTACTGCGACATGCCTGCAGCCACCACACACGCAGACAGCGCCTGCTGCAGCCTGAGGACCTGCGGCATGTGCTGGTGGATGATACACACGGCCTGCTCTATTGCTATATACCTAAGGTGGCCTGCACCAACTGGAAGCGGGTGCTGCTGGCAATGAGCAGCCTCACCAGCCAAGACCCCCAAGCCATCCCCGCGCATGAGGCGCATGCGCCAGGCCGCCTGCCCTCTCTGGCTGACTTCAGCCCCACGGAGATCAACTGGCGCCTACGCGACTACCTGGCTTTCCTCTTCGTGCGTGAGCCCTTTGAGCGCCTGGCCTCGGCCTACCAAAACAAGTTCAAGAGGCCCTACAGCGCAGCCTTCCAGCGGCATTATGGCACGCGCATTGTGCGGCGCCTGAGGCCGCACCCACACCCAGATGCGCTGGCCCGTGGCCACGACGTACGCTTTGCTGAGTTCCTGGCTTACCTGCTGGATCCCCGTACGCGCCGCAACGAACCTTTCAATGAGCACTGGGAGCGCGCCCATGCACTCTGCCACCCGTGCCGCCTGCGCTATGATGTAGTGGGCAAGTTCGAGACCCTGGCGGAGGATGCGGCCTTCGTGCTGGGCCTGGTGGGTGTACCTGGCTTGCACTTCCCTGCGCCACCGCCCCGGGCCAAGGCAGCCACAACCCACCACCAGGCCATGCGCCTCTTTCAGGACATCAGCCCCTTCTATCAGCGGCGCCTCTTCGACCTCTACAAGATGGACTTCCTGCTCTTCAACTACTCTACCCCTTCCTACCTGCGGCTGCACTAGCTTGCAGTGCCCCTAAAGGGCCTGGTACACTGCAAAGGCTCCAAGACCAGAGATGGGGGCCCAGAGAATGGGAGTTTCTGACGGGCCCAGGGGACCTCACCCTGACAACCACTGCATTAGGCCGACATTACACCTGGCTGGGTTTGGGTGCAGCTCACCTCAGGTGCTATACAACTGTGTGCCTACCACCTGTCCTGCCTGTCTCTTGATACTTGCTTCTTCTAACTGCTCTGGCTGGCAGGTAGTTACCCAGGATCCTGGAGTGGATGAGGATTGGATAACAGCATTTTAAATTGCAAAGAGGCCATTTTTGTCAGCTCCGTCTCTGAACCTGTCCATAGTGCAACAGAGCAGAATGCTGGCTCAAGATGGCCTGTGCTCATCCCAGTACCCTCCCCATCCCACCTGCTCTGGTAAGGACAGCCCTGGACAAAGAGAGATGTCCTCCACTGCAGGACTCAAGCTTGGGACATCCTTGTCTATGGGCATGGCACAGGAACCAGCTTTGAGCTGCCTTCACTCTGCCCATTACAGAGTAGGGCCACTTCCTGTTGCTGACCTGGCCTTGGCCCTACCCTTGATTTTAGTCTGTCCGGAAGTTAGGCTGCTTAGGTTGCCTCTGTATGTCCATAGAGCCCAGGGTGCAATATGAGGACAGGTTTTATAGGACCTTGGTGATCTGGGAGCTCATGTTATTGAAATAAATGCGTTTTGGTATTTTCTGACAGTTTAGAGTGTCTCCACTTCATTTTGCCAGTTGTTCTGGGGCATGGCGCTATCTGATTTTGGCATCTCACTAAGTCTCTGAGCCTCAGTTTCCACAGCTGCCAAATGGCCTAAGAATGCCAGGTGGTTATGAGAATCAGATAAGAGAGATGGAGAGCCTGGATTACCTTCATAGCAGCACAGAAGTGTGAGGGTGTACATGTGGAGTGGGATATGAAGGGAGTGCATCATGTGAGGGGATTGCTAAATTGTAGGGTCGGGGGAAACAGTAACAACTTGGGAGAAATCTAATCTTTGCCTGGGCCGAAGATTAAAGCCCAAACTATCTCAGAGAAGCCCTCTGTCTTGGACTCTTTCCCGTGTGTGTGTGTGTGTATGTATGTGTGTGTGTATGTGTGTGTGTGTGTGTGTGTGTGTTTTACAGCATGTGTTGGGCACATGGCAATGAGGACCCACCTTTTCAGCTTTGGGGAGACAGCCTGCCATGGGGGGTCCCTTATGAGAGACTGAAAGTCTCCTTAGTGAATGGTTGACTACATGGTGTCCTTTCTCAGTGTCCTTGAGTGATAAAAATTCCAGAACTTTGGGAAGAATAGGTCAGGGTATGCTTAAGGTTATGAAAAACAGGAATTAGAACACAACTGAGGAAGGGCAACTTGGCAGGGATGAGGCCAAACCAGCTGTGGTGCCTCCACACCCGTGAGTGCCATGCGGGCCTCTGGGGACTGGACTGGCCAGGGACCAGCAGCTTAGCCACATTCATGCCCCAGACCTTGCTAATGCTGTTTCCCTACTTACCATGCTCTTCTTCCCCATACTGGTCCTTGGTTCTTTCCTCAGGAGCCTGCCCGAGGCCATCAGAAGCTCCCTCATGCTTTGTCCATAGGTCCTCCCAGTGTGGGTCAACAGCAGCCAACTCCTGTGGACCTGGGAAGCCTCGCCCAAGTGGAGGGATGTATAAAGGTCTGGACAGTTACCAGGACAACATGGACCACAGCTCTACCATGCTGAGCTAGGCTTAAAGAGGGAGAGGCTGGGGCTGTCGACGCACTCAGGGGCTGCCATCTTTCTTACAAGCCCCTGTTACTCATGTACTCCTTCAGATGCTGTGCACACACAATGACTGTTACATGCCTCTTTATGGTTGGTTGTTGTGCATCTGCTTCAATGACGCATCTTTGTTCCAAGTTCACTCAGCACCCACATGGCCTCTGCTGTGTCTTGTTTGCTGAAAGTTAACCCCTATCCAGATGTCACATCCCCAGGTGCATCGCAATTCGAAGTCAGCCTTTGCCATCATACCATCAGCTGTCATCCTCTTAGAGACTCCTGCATGCTGTTGCTTGTCACACACACTCGCACTCTGTTATTTTATTTTATTTTATTTTTATCCTCACCCGAGGACATCCTTCCATTTTTTGTACAGATAGAATGGGAGGGAGAGAGAGGAAGGGAGAGAGAGTGAGAAACATCGACGTGAAGGGACACATCGAGTGGCTGCCACCCGCATGACCAACCAGGACCGGGGACAAACTGCAACCGAAGTACATGCCCTTAGCGGGAACCGAACCTGGGTCTCTCCGGACCGCAGGCCGACGCTCCAACTCGCACTCTGTTATTGAGGGCAGGCCCTTCAATGCTCCCATACCCCCACTGGAAATCTGTGCTCTCTGAGTTTGCATGCACTCAATGCCACACATTTAGCTGTACTCCCACCACACAGCCCTCACCTCTGCTGTGAGTGCATGGCCTGCAGCCCAGGCCTGTGCATACTGGAAGCACTTCTTGCTGCTCATCTCACTAGTCTTGGGGCATTACTTCTGCTCTGGCCCTCCTCTGACTTGTTTCCTCTCTGGCTGACACCAGAATGTGTCTGTCATCACAGATCACAGATTGACTGTGGTCTGGTTAGGTCATGGGATGACTTGAAAAAGATAGAGTCTCACAAAAAGAGCTGGACAAGATATGAGGGCACCTAGGTGGGCTCATAATCTGGCACCCCCTTCAGACCGGTTATTTTTCTATTAAAACCAGTTCCTAAAGAGATTAAGAGCATGTACTGAAGGTAGCACTCAATTGTCTTATATTTTCCAATGTTTCAGTCTCTCAGAACTGGGTAGTACTGGTCAGCACCCTTCCCAAGATGGAAATGACACTGGTGGATCGGGTTACAAAGACTTGTTTAAGACAACTTTCAGTGATTTTTTCTTTTTATGGCTTTTTTTTTTTTTTTTTTTTTGGTCAGGAAAATGTCAGATTTTTGTAGGTATGGTGTTCATTTGTTTTCATTTATTTTGTTTTGTTTTTCCATTTTATTTTGCGGTTTTGTCATACAGGCAACTTCCTGGGAGGCATAGTTCCATGGTTTAAAATTTTGCTAAAATAAATTCCCTGGTTCTTTGTAACAACACTACTTCATGCCTTATTTAGTTTCAGAATTGCAGCCAATTGCATCTGCTGGTTTCTGCAACTGGCTGGATGACCACAGAATAAAGGCAAGGCTCAAGGCTGCTCAGATTGTGTCACCAAAACACTCTGACAGGTCAGTAGGCTCAGGTCTCAGGGTGCTGCCTTTTTCAGTGATGCTATAGCTGTTTTACTAGGATAAAGGTGTAACTGCCTGTAGCAAAGGCTCAATAATGGCAACTTCAACCAGGTGGTTTCTCTTGTCCAGAGAAAGATGGTCAGAACTGGTAGAAAGGTTGTTCCATGGAGCCACTGCGGGGGGGGGGGGGGGGGGGGGGATAAGCCCTTTCTCTCCTATTGCTTCCCTACCCCTAGGACATAGCCCTCTTCCTTGCCATCCAGGAGAGTGAGCAATTCACTTTTGTAGAAGGCTGGTTGACCCCTAACCACCTGTTCTTCTTTTTTTTTTTTTAATTTTTAAATACTCACCTGAGGATAAGTTTATTAATTTTTAGAGAGAGAGTAAAGTAATGGAGAGAGAGAGAGAAGCATTGATGTGAGAAACATTGATTGGTTGCCTCCCGTACATGCCCGACCATGGATCAAACTGGCAACCTAGGTAGGTACCTTAACTAGAAATCTAATCTGCAACTTTTTGGTGTATGGGATGACACTCCAATCAACTGAGCTACCCAGCCAGAATTGTTCTTTAGGAGGCTTCAACCATGCGCTGATTCATGTTTTGCTGTAACTATACTCATGGCATGAGGTCAATTGAGGGTCAGGTTGGCCACTCTTAAACACCTGGTCAACACACCCATGTTGCTACATAGGCCCCAGGATTATTTCTGATGTTTATAAAATAATTTTGCATAAATAATACTGTTAAGCCAATCCTTTGTTGTCAAATTTTGACATTATTGCCTTTTAATTAATTTATTTTTTTTGAGGACATTGTGTACACACAAACACTCAAAACACAGCAGGGCCAAAACAGGTAATTCTGAGAAGGCAAGCCAAGTGCAGCCCTTTAGGCAGTGCAGAGACCCCACCCTCGGCTTTTGTAATTTTGGTACATCCACCAACCACCTAAACTACAGTAGAATTAGAAGGCCCCCAAATACCTGGAGGCTTATCATGTATAAAATGCAGCTGGAACCTGGGGTCAGGGCTCAGCCTTTGGAGATGACTTCGCTGGGACAGCACCAATGCATATTAAACAGTCCTTTTCTAATCCTCCGAGTGCATGTAGCCTGTCTCTTCCTGCTGACCAAATTTCTGCCACAACATTTTGGTGTGTTGGCTGGGAAGCTGACAGCTGTGCTGGCCCCTTGAGTCACCATTGTTGGATGCCAGTGGGAAGGAGCCACTAATTTTGGGCCCCTACAATGGAAAGAAAAGTGTGCCACTGGTGATTTTACTAGACTCTGACCCCAACTGGGTCTGACTGTAGTCAGCCACTGCTGTGCTCCAACAGATTCCAGGGAGGATAGAAAAGTCTGCTAGTACGTCAGATTGGTAAGTGTCTTCGGAGACCCAGGACCAAATTCAGGCCTACCTCTAAGGTGGAAGGGGAGCTTGATCACCTCCCAAGCAGCAAAGATGCTGCACAGAATAGGGAATTCCTGAGTGGAAGTTTAAATTCTGTGTGTTTGTGTGTGTGAGTGACCATGCTCCACAATGCCTGTTATGGAGCCTGCATAAGTTCCAACCTGCACATCCGTGGTGACCCCATAGGGCTAAGGGCAGTACAGGTTCTTGGGGGCATTTGTCTCCACCTGCAAACCTGATCTGAATCAGGGGCTCATACTGACCTGCCAATGCCAAGAAGCGCCTAAATCCCCATGAGAGGAGCAGCCCGGTGGATG